CAAAAATTTGGAAAGCGTGCAAATTATGATTTTATTAAATTAAAATAGCTGTTGAAAATTAAGTATCTGTTCAAAAAATAAAAATATAATATAATTAAAATTAATAACACATTTTATGGTGAGTTTAGAATAATAACCGCTTTGCAATAATAGCAGTGACATTATTTTGTGCATCGCTCGTTAGCCTCATGACGTAGGCACTGCAGCGCTAATTGAAAATTATCGCATTCAAATTGGCTCGTGCACCATTTAATGGGGTGCTGCGGGTTGGTGCGGTGGAAAGCGAGACGCGGCGTCGTCCGCTTTGATAGTGCCCTGTCAACGGCGCACTGAAAGAGAAGTAACAATAATGTACCGGTGGTGCTGCTGCCATTTGGCTTTTGTGGCCACCAACACTGTATGCTAATTATGAAACTATAGCTGCTGTTTGTCGTCCTCCAACAGAAGCGAGAGGGCATTGTTGTGAAAATAATGTTATGCTAAATAGATATAATTGCCGTGAAGAGGGCAATAAGAGACATGGGGCTTTGGTGAGCTTTATTGCACCTTTGCCCTTTCGTTTGATGTGAGAGTGAGTGAGATGTCGGTGGCAACACTCGTAACGTGTTTTGCATGTGTGTGCATTTGATGTTTAATTTAATCGACGATCATTTCGATTAACTAAATGGAAAGTGCTTGCGAGTGTTCGTTTAATAAAACAGAAAGAATTATCAGGGGATTAATTATCAGTGGGGATAGTTTTTAAACAGTAAACGATTGAACGGGAAATAAATGAAATTTAGGTTATTAAATTTCAAATTAAAATTATTGTCATTTTTTTCTGTTAATAATACGCATACGCAGCATTGCTATTTTTCTTACAAAGGTGTGAGCAATCTTTTTAAATCACAATAGTGAAAGTGAATGAGAATTAGATCGAAATTTTAATTGCATGAAACATGGCTTGTTGTAAAAAGGGGAATTGAAATTCATTAAAAAATTTGAAGTAGAATTTAAAAAATAATTTAGGTTTTAAATAATATTGTTATGATTTACAGACACAAAACTCTCCGTGTTCCTAGTTTAAAACTTCATCAGCGGCTACAAAATTTTGAACTCCTATTTTAATATTCTTTGTATAAAATGTAAATTTTGTGGAGTGGTCACACTTTCTCACTTTCTGAGACAATAAGGATCTTTAATAAAACACTATCAAATCCTGATTTGTCAAATTATGAACAACACCTTAAAAGCTTTACAACGTTTCAGAAAAAAGGTTGAAAAAAAAATGGAAAATATTAATTTTTTGCAATTAAATTTTTTATGTATAAAAAAATCTAAATTAATTTAAAAACGCATCTTCGCTAATGCTTATACAGGACAAAGGAAAATTAATTAAAATAATGCGGTTCTTATCAGTTATTGTGTACTCGAAACTTCAAAAATTCAGATAAAAAGTATCTCTCGTCTTTCATTCCGGCTTCTGTGGAGTATAATAGTTGCTGCTTATATAATCATTTAAATTAAATTCTTTCTCGCAACCCTTGTAACAAATGGAGTGGAAATTGCACCACTGACGGTTGCTTTTTTCCGATCTAATGGACGCGAATATAACTTCCTGTACATTAAACAAGAGGCTCCTTTTTCTTATTTAAAAGCAATTGGAAAACCTCTCCCTTGCTTTTATCGCCGTATTGATGAAACACACGCCAAACGGCGAACGGAATTGCCGGCGTTTTGAATAAAAGAAGGGGTAATTGGCCGGGCAGCGAGATCAGAAGTTGCAGCGGCAGCAGGGGTCTCCACCACACTTTCGGGCGCAGGGCATTAAATAGGGCGCCACGAAATATTTATCAGTTGAAATCTGTACAAAATATGGATCGATCTGCGAGCTTTAGTGTACATACACGGGCCGGCATGTAATATGCATTAAGCAGACCCCTCGGCACACAGCGCTGCAGGCGCATCGTGTAAACACACCGGCGGCGGCGGCTGCCTATTTATTCTACATCAAAAGTAGCAGGGCGAGAGTGTGTTGCTTCGGCCTGGAGAACACTTTGTGCTTCTTGCTCAGTTGACGCCTGTTCTAATGGCACACATATCGGCACATGCTTATGCTGCAGCACGGTCAAATCAATGCATATACAAATAGCTTTTGCCAGCAGCAACTCGTCGTGTCAGCTCGCAGCGATTTTTCACCCGTGAATCTCGCGAGTGAAAAATAGCAGCGCTAAATTCATGCACGCGAGCCAGAGAGCGTTTCTTGCCAAGGGAAATTGCGTCGGCTCTTCGCTTTCTCGCGCAATTGATTGATTTTGCCGTGCGCTTCGGCGGGAGACGCGTCAGCTTTTTATGGAAATAAAGTGCTCTGATTAGAGAGAAGGTCGATTTGTCACACACCCCGTGCAGTGCACTTGAATTGTGTAAATATTTTACACACGCCAGAGGCCAATGAAGGCAGGATAAGATAAAGAAGTGCAAAGATATTAAAGGTAACTTTAATTTGTTGCACAAAAAATCTATTTTAAAGCGGTATTGAAAGTAATTGATTGTATCAGTACTACTGAATATTAGAGAGAGTTGTTAATTTTCACTGCAAGAAATCTAGGATGAGCTAAGAAAATAAGACTTAGTCAAAATTTGTACACAATTTGGATTTATTTTTCATAAAATATTTAGATACATTCAAAAATAATTTAATATAATTTGATCAAAATAATTTATAGCTCAAATTTACCCATTTTTTTTTTAATATTTTTAAATTTAATTTATTAAAACCTAATTATACGCAATAAAATAAAGTAAATTCAGTTTAATATTTAAGAAAATTAACCTGTGAATTTTGAAAATTTAATCATAAATAAAAGTCAGCTACAAATACTTCCCATTACCTTTCTAACGTAAATTGTATTTGCACATTTTATTTTCAAGAGCTCTAAAATTGCCGATTCAGTTTTCTTTTATGATATTGCAATCATTTTTAGTCTTTTCACTTATAAAAGCTTTTGTTTCAATTCTGACTCTCAACCTCCAACAGTAAATTCATTTTTTTTATTTCACTCGATTACAAATGAAATCTCGTCGGCGCATTCTGACGTGGACACACGCGTCATTAATTTCGACAAACCTGGCCGGCTTTTTAACGAGCTCCACATAAATGCGTGCCGTTGAATTTGTCAACGGCGAGCGTCGCTTGCGCTGACAGGGCGAAATTTCATCTGGGATTACGCCGGAAAATTAGGGTCCGCGCCCAGCGGTTCAAACCGACGCGAGATGTTTATTTTCGAGAGGGCGCGCGTATTTATACATAAATAAATATATGCATAGGGAAATTCACAAAAGCAAAGCCCGGCGGCGGCAGGCGCGTATAAAAAATGTGCCGGCCAAGACGGAGCTGCGGCATTTCCAGGGCAGCGTTGCAGAACTCGCTGCTGCTGGGCAACTTCCAACAATGCAATCGGACGAACACCCGCTCGGCAGGGATATATTTTTTTTATCGCCACGAGAATCATCATCATTATCGATCGAAAAACGCCGTTGCATAATCGTGCTTGCAAAGGAGCCTATTCAAGAACCTGGTTTAGTTTTATAGCCAACGAATGTTTTAACAAAACAAAAAATGTCGCACACTTCCGTTGCCGCTTAAACGATTATAGTTGAAAACAAAAGATTTCTTAACGCAACAAGCACTGGTTTAAAATATGGAATGATTTTTCTGATCTGTTTAAAATAATCAATTAAAAAGAAAATTCAAAGATTTTTTTATTGTTAAAATCGTTTGTAATCAAGGAAGTGGTTTGGAAATTGTTTTACATGGCCTAAATTTCAAATAATTTCTCATTATTGAATTTATATTTTTTTGCTTCCTGTCATTGATAATACATTCACTATGAGAATAAAAAAAAAAACACTTAAGGTTGCCACACATAACAAGAAGGGTTTTTGCTTTTAATATGTATCATGAATATTTCGCTTCAACGTATTTCACGGTATTTCATTTCATCTGATTTCAGATTACGCATTTTTTTTTCTTTTTGTACAATCAATTCATATTTTCTTTTAGAATTTCTTGAATCTGAATAGTATTTTGGTCTCCCCAAAAGCAGTCATAAGTTACCTTACTTGAGGGGAGAAGTTAAGAGTTGAATATTCACCCTTGCAAGAAAAGTACCATTTCCAAGCATGAATTGGACGCGCTTCCGTGCATCTATATTTTCTATTCCTAGTCAGTCCAGGCCTAAAATTAGTCAATTCCGCTGCGGACTACTTTTTTCTCTTTCTTTCCTTTGCTACTTTTTTTTGTTATAAACGTGTACAGGTTCTTCCTCACTCAAACAACTTACTTCATTCTGGTACAATTCGTGTTTTATACTCGCAGTGTATGTACATAGTATGTATATCGGAATGGAAATTACCAGCGCCGTTTGTTACCAACTTACTTCGCTGCTCGTATTTAAAAGTTCTCTGGCTGCTTCTCTCTCACTCGTAAAAGCGGGCAAAAGCGTTCGCTTCAACACACAACTTGCTACTTGCTTGCTTCTTCTCTTCTCCCTGTGTGTACATAAAATTTACATTCGCTCGCGGCAGCCGCCGGTAAATAATATCCCCAGAAACGCTCTGCTTAATAGGAAAGGAAAATTATTTACTTGCTGTCGGGGTTTATTGCAAGAGGAGCTTCCAGCTTATCAGTCTGGCTATAATTTTACTTGATTGTTGCAAGGAAATTCCTTGCGAAACACCGAGGGAGCTCCCCTTTAAAAGACATTAAAATATGCTGGTTAATTTAAAGTGCGGATTTTATCATTCAAATGCACTAATAAATTTAGCAAATCTTTATAATTTTGACGATCTATTTTATAAATTTTATTTCGATCAGTTCAAAGTTCAAATTATTTGAAATTTAAAGCTTGCCCTGAAATGAGCTTGTAAATTGCTGGATAAGACTAAATTGTGATGCGTGTTTGCTATATTTTGTTCAGGTTTTATTTAATTTGATTTATTTATTTTATTTTTAAATCTAGGAGCCCCAAAATGAAAGCAATAACATTCAGACTGATTCGGAAAGAGGAAAAGACTCTCGTGAGTTTAAAGTACCTCGCAAATTACAAAGTGTGAGTATTTTTTTTGCTAAATTTTTATGTAACATTTAGGAACTGAAAATGTTAAACATGGACATTAAATTTCAAATATGACTTCTAACAAGTTGCTCGATTTGCATATCCTCCAATTGAGCCAAGGTAATGTCTTCAGCTGCCAGTCTCGGAGGTTGTGAGTTTAATTCTCACTTTAGGAGGGAGTGATCAGGGGAACTCTGGACAATCTTGGGTCTCAAGGGCTTGAAGTTATGGGTATTTTGAGGCTGCCTTTATAGCTCGCGCCGGTGTTTAATTCCAAAACTTTTTAACAACATGGTTTTAGTCAACAGGGTTAATTATTAATTAATAATGCGACCAAAGCACGATTTACTGTTAAAATGCAAGACTTTAAGTTTCTATAGGGTTAAAAAAACTCTGTTTGGCAATGTTTGGTCGAAAATCGGATAAAATAATCATTTCACTAAACCAACACTGCCACAAAAAGTAAAGGCCGGCGTGCGACTAAGCCACTTTGGTCGAATTAGTAATTTGTCAAAGCGACCAGCTACTTTATTTCAAGCACGGTTCACGCATTCGGGCACGAGAAAAAGTATTGATTTTCCTTCAAAGCGGCACGTTCTTTCTTTGCTGCTCACGGCGACGTAGCAGCACGGCCCGCTGAGAATGATCTGTTTCTCCATTAACACGGCATCATCATACTTTAAAATTCCCCTGCCTGTGTTCGACGCAGCTTTTCAGTTTTGTGGGCCAGATTGCTCCTTTGAAAGGCAAATGAGCGGCCGGCCAGCCGGCGAGCGGCGCCAAATTTGAATGCAGACGAAGCGTAACCTGCCGAATTCTCTGTGAGTTATGCATGAGTGTTAATTGGCCAGGTGCTGTACAGCTAAAGTATGGAAGGCTGCGCTGGGAAAAAAAGGTCACTCGCAATGAGCCGACTGGCGCGTGCCGCCGTAATTACCGCGGGGACGCTCCGCCAACCCATTTGCCTGGATTTCGTCCCGCTTTTATTGCCGACGAATTTGTCCCTTACCTCTGCTCGTTTCGCCTTTTTCGCTAATTGGCCTTGAGTGAAGCATCGTTGAATAGCAGTGACGCTTTTAAAAGTAAATGAGACGCGAAAGACCGCCAAAATTTCTGATTTCATTCTGGCGAGCAGAGCGGAAGTTTTAAATTAGGTGAAACACGAATCCCTGTCTAACCTTGGAAGGATTTTGATGAAAATGACATATTTCTTTTATAATTTGTAGAAATTAATGTTGAAATAGATCAATGTTAATATTGTTTGTTGATTCGAATTGTTTAAATTTTTTTAAATTAAAAGAAAAACAAGAATTGAAAGGAAAACTTTGATTTGTAGGATAAAATTGCACTACCACTTGCCAAAGTTTTTCTAAATCTTCCAATTTCAAAAATACATCGCCATTTGTGCTTCAGTGAGATTAATGAATTGTAAATTTTAACTTGGAATTTGGTAAAGGCAGACTAAAAAAAGGAGAAGTTAAAAACATCTAAATTTTGCTTACAAACAAAAAACATTTATTTAATTCTTTGATTCTATTGAAAAAAAATTCATTTCAATAAAAAATATATGATGAGATGAATCTTATTTTTATCTTCACTTTTCTTTTGTAACGGAAGAAACGGGAAGGTATTCAAAGTTACCTTGAAAACAGTAAAATCTTTCCTTGAAGAATATATTTTTTATCTTTCCAGAATATAGAAAGTCTCGATATTTCCCTCATCATGCTGTCATCAATCAAGCGCTGTACGCGATATATATTTTTTGGGATCAAATTTCAAGTCAAGTTGCTCACAACCTAAATTATAAGCAGCTGTCGTCCGCAGGCAAGTAAGGAATTCCCGCGAGCGAATCAATAAATAAGCACCCGCATGCAATTTCCGAATTCGAAACTCGCGCCCAAGTTAAATTAATCAGGTCTCGCGCCCAATTTGCCGGAGCAAATAGTATAGTCGGGGCGGCTCTTGTGGTGTAGTGCGAGAACAAAGGGCGCCGCCGGTGAATTATGCAAGCAGGGAGAGCGCCCGAGGAGGCCGTCGGCGAAAATTGCTCGTTTGAACGTGATGAAGCATTTGGGGCTGAAATTCCGGGTTAATGCTGCCGGAAAATTGGAATCGCCTATACGCGTGGGTCAACCGGAAAGGCCGTTCTTTTTGACGCGGTCACCACACAAAACACACACGTGCGCGTCGATGTAGTATTAAAAATGCATTACGAGCGGACTAATACTTGAAATAATATCATTCTCTGCAGGTCATGAATTGTAAATGAGCGCCGGCTGAGTGAGTGAGTGGGTGTTTGCCGAGCCGCAAACAGCGCGAGAGAGAGCGCGGCGGTTTTGCGCTCCTTTCCTCTCTGGCTTTTTTTTTGAAGGGAATTCATAAAGAGCCGTTGTTGTTGTGTAAACACGCGGCCAGATACTGGGAGGGAACACGCCGTCTGTGCATAATCTTTAAGAAGCAGGCCGAAAAGTAAATAACCAAGCTGCTGGGAATGAAAAAAAAATGTGCATCTAAATTTCCGTAGTGTTCCGAGATAAGGAGCGAAAGGGTCACCTTCCTTCGCCTACTTGGGAAAGACGCAAAAAATCGTTTGTAAATCTGCCAGCAGAGAGGATTTGCCTTTGCGGAAAATTGCTCGTTAGCAGGTCTCGTTTTCGAATCAGAATAACCTAAGGGTGCGTGGAGAGACGGAGAAAGAACCGCCGCACACTAAATGCCAAGTTTGCACCCCGGAATTTATTGCCGCTAATGATAATTACAGTACTGCATGTAATAATAATTATGAGCTTGCTCGCGAGAGAGAACTTGTTTTTTCACTTTGCTTTCCTGCTTGGCAGCATTTTCATATTTGCCGAGCCGAAAGGGCATTACGTGTGTATTACCCGACGCCGGGTACGCGAGGATTAATTGCGATGGTAAAAATTTATAGCTGCAAAACCGTACTTTTCGCCGGTTGTTTTCGCGCTCAACAAAAGCAGCAGCCGCGCTTTTTGCTGAAGAGCATATTGCATACATTTGGGCAGTAAGCCATGGTTAAACGTAGATTTAACCAGCAATGATAAAAAATATATGCGGAGCTCCGGGCAAAAAATTACAAAGAGTTGAAAATTCAGACACAATTTGAAAAGAGGATTTCATGAGTTTAAATAAAACAAATTTTCTGTGGTATTTTGAACATAACATTTTGAAAGTGGCTACTATTTTAAAAGTTTTCTTATCTATCATCCACCATTACTTAATAGATAATTATTAATTAGCCACTTCCCTTTGATGTGAATAGATTTGCACAATGCATGTTAGACAGGTTTTTCTGGCAAAGTAAACAACATCATTCGGCCTTTGTAAATTTAGTCGGTTATAGTTATTAAAAAAAACCATGCAAGTTATAAAATGACAAAATACCAATCCTCTGCCAAATGATTTTTTTGTTAAATATCTTTTGCAATATTGCTCCTGAAAATTAAATGATTCTGCCTATATTTGTGATTATTTTTTACTCCAACGAGCAGTAGGAAAAGTAAAAATATTTAAATTACAGCAAAATTTTGTGTTGATTTGTATTATGATTTATTGATAAAATACACAATTGTGAGAAAGAGCTATTTTATTTCCCTTTATCAGCCAATTTCCCTCCTCATCATCAGCGTGGAACGAAGAGCCCTTTCTAAAATAAACATGCTGCTGTGGGTACTGCACTATTCCATTAGTCAAATTACATTAATGACTCCACATGCCAAACGAATATTTCGAAAAGCTTGTTTGCGGTGCGTGCGTTATGATTAATTTGGCCGCGGCTGATGACGTGGACTGAAAGCAGATTTTGATGACAGCTAACATCCCCTTTGAATATAGACTGCAGTGCAGAGAAAGTGAAAAGTACACAAGCAACCTGCCTTAATAATTAGCATTGCACGCACGTATAATTTTCTCTGACTGAGTGAGCTGGTCGTAATAATTCATATTCATATTCTTGCAAATTAGTCTAACGTGACAGGAGACAGGACATTTGAATATTATTTAGGTTCAACTATAGGGTATGATAAAAACAAAGTAATTTTTAGCGATTAGAATTAAATAATTAAAACAGACCTACCAAAAGCATGGAATAAATAAATTGGGGCATATTTTGGGCTTAAATTACTTGTAAGTTTAATAAAAAAAATCAAAATTCAAAATTAAATAATGCTTCTCTATGGAAAGATGCAAATTACGTGATTCATCATTTTTTTATCAATTATAAATCCGAGAAAAATTTAAACTCGCAATTAATAATAATTCATATTTTAATATTACTATATTAAAAAAAAATGATTTGTTCTTTCGCTGGAAATTTTTAACTTAAAACAATCTGGTACAATTTCTTAACTTTTTAATTAAGCTCCTTCGTGGAAGCAAAATAGCTTTTCATGGCTGCACCGCACGTTCTCAAATATTAGCATTCCTTTCCATCAAAACTCGCCGACAACACGCGAAAAGAATTTCCACCGACAACAAAAAGCAGGAGCAAAAACAAGCAACTCCCTCGCGGCGGCACCACATCAGATTTGCTTCGAAAAATCTCGGTATGCCGCGGTTTACGAGGTTAGCGCTGCCTGAAAATTGCATTCTCTCTGTGTGAAATATACAAACGGTAGAAAAAAGCAGCCAACAGGAAGAGAAAAATAGCCGTCACTCCCCGCGCGGCGAATTAATCATAATAAAATGCACCCCAGTCGGTCCCCGCCGCACACACATCACATCCACGCACACCTTGTAAGAAAAGTTCAACCCTGCCCGCGGGGCTCGCGGGGCGCTTGTGTATGCTGAGGTGAAATGGCTGCAGTCACGCAGGGCTAATTTATTTTGGCGCGCGTTTTCCACTTGACTTTCGACCCGCGAGCGTACGCACAAGAGGCGCGGGGATGAGGAGTCTGAGGAGAAGATGCTGTGACACTCGCAGGGGTCGTCGCATAATAATTGATGTGCCCGCCGGATTTTTGAGGTCGCGACTCCGT